GCTTTGGATCCAGGTGTGCCCCAGGGGCAGGAGCAGCACCTCGACCTGCACCCACCCCAGGGCACAGGGATCATTTTGGACAGGGAGTGATGCCATGGGACTGTGGGTCTGGGCCCAGAGTGGTGGGCATGGGGGAACAACAGCCCAAGGGACCAGGTCAGGGTCTGGCAGTGCTGGGATGTGCCTTGTCCTGGGGCTGACCCTGCTCCCTCTCCTCACCTCCCCAGCCCCTGGCAGAGGAACCAGTCCCATCAGTGGTGTCCCTGTGGAACCTCTGCCCACCATGGAGCTCCTGGTGCTGGTGCTGGTGTTGCTGGGTGGGACCTTGGGCAGTGGCATCAAGGAGAAGGCACTGGACATGGCCCCCAATGCCTTTGATGACCAGTACAAAAGCTGCAGGACTGAAATGGAGAAGAAGCTGCGGAACCTGGTGCACTCTGAGCTGGACATAAACAAAGATTTTGCCAGAGCTTGGGCTAAGGCCAGTGAGGAGTGGAAGAAGCGCCATCGCCAGCAGTGCCCACTGCAGCAGGATCAGGCCATTGCCCTCCTGGCATACACAGACTCAGCTCTGTCCGAGGCTTTCAAAACAGCCATGGCCCAGAGTGGACCTTCTGCCTTCATTTACTGCCACAACTTCCACTTCAAGGCTCTGCATTTCTTGCTGACCATGGCCCTGAGTGACAAAGCCCATCCCCAGGGCACCTGCCTGACCGTGTTCCGAGGTGCCAAACCCAGGTTCACTGCCAAGCGTGGCCAGACCGTTCGCTTCGGCCACTTCGCCTCCAGCTCCCTGAAGGAACAAGTCACCAAGAAATTTGGCACCAACACATTCTTCAAGGTGGAGACCTGTCATGGTGCCTTTATCCGTGACTTCTCCTTCTACCCTAAGGAGGATGAGGTGCTCATCCCACCCTTTGAGACCTTCCAAGTCATCAGTGTCAGCCCCAAAAAGGAAGGTGTCCACATCCATCTCCGCTCCAGTGGCACCTGCAGCAATTATCACTGCGAGTTCACCCGAGGTGATGTCCCTAGGGAGGGGACAGGGCATGGGTGGCACCAGGGCAGTGGCTCTGCTGGGACAGGGGATGTTGGGGCATTGGGCATAGCACAGCTCCAGCTGCTGTCCTGGCATGGGATGAGATGGGATGAGATGGCATGGGATGGCTGGGCATGGGCATGGGGAGGAGGGTGAGCTGGGGATGGGATGTGGGTGGAGATGGGATGGGGATAGGATGGGGATGGGGATGGGAATGGAGGTTGGGATAGGGATGGAGGTGGAGTTGGGGATGTGATGGGGATGGGGATAGGGATGGAGACTGGGATGGGGAAGGGGATGGAGCGGGAGATGGGATGGGAATGGGGATAGGGATGGGAATGGGGATAGGGATGGAGATTGGAATGGGGAAGGGGATGGGGTGGAAACGGAGAATGGGATGGAATTGGGGATGGGATGGAGATGGGGATGGGGTAGGGGATGGGGTTGGGCATGAGACAGGGTTGGGATGCCATGGCATGACACAGTACAGGGCAGCTCAGCCCAGCCCGAGCCAGTGGGACTGGGATAGCTCCAGTGCAGGTTGTGCCTCCCTGTGCTGACTCCACTACTCTCCCTGGCAGCAGAGAAATGTAAGAACAAGGCCAAGACTTGCAAAGCAGGTGAGCTGGGAGCATCCACCCCTCATGGCCCCCCTGCCCTCTCCAGCTGCCCCTGACCCTCCCTGGCACCCCCTGACCCTCTTGTCCTGCCCCCCCAGGCAGGAGCATCCACAGGGACCCTCTGCACATCCCTGGGCTCCTCCTGACAGCTGTGGGACCAGCTGCTGCCAATGGCACCCACTGAGCCAGGAGGCCACCTCTGCCACCTCTGCCTCTCCTGCCACCACTGCCAGCGAAGATGAGAGCTCAGGGATGGAGTCACCAGGGCCACCAGGACAGCCCAGGGGGCACAGGGACCCCCTGCTGCAGGGGGACACTGGCCAAGCCCCGAGGGCTCCCACACCGAGCCGTGGTGTCAGGGTGCAGCTGGGGGGCTCAGGGTGGGCATAGAAGGGTCACATTGGGTATTTTCTTCCCTTTTGGGCTTTATTTTCTCCTTTCCAATACTTTTCACTTCTCTTTGCAAGTATTAAACTGCTTTTAGCTCAACTCACGAGGTTCCTTCTCACTTTAACCCACCTGATCCTGCTCCAGAGACTTTGCACAAGGGATGGAGGGACAGGACACAGGGAATGGCTTCCCACTGCCAGAGGGCAGGGACAGATGGGATGTTGGGCAGGAATTCCTCCCTGGGAGGTGCTACTGTGGTCACTAGCCCATGGCACTAAGTGCCACATCCAGTCTCACCTTGAAAACCTCCAGGGATGGTGAATCCACCACCTCCCTGGGCAGCACATTCCAATGTCTGAGCACTCTCTCTGGAAAAAATCTCTTCTAAGATCCAACCTAACCCTCCCCTGGCAGAGCTTGAGTCTGTGCCCTCTTGTCCTGCTGCTGGTTGCCTGGGAGAAGAGACCAACCCCCACCTGACTCCAACCTCCTGTCAGGGAGTTGCAGAGGGTGAGAAGGTCTCCCCTGAGCCTCCTCTTCTCCAGGCTCAACACCCCCAGCTCCCTCAGCCTCTCCTCATGCCACTTGTGCTCCAGTCCCTTCCCCAGCCTCGCTGCTCTTCTCTGGACCTGCTCCAGCCCCTCAATGTCCCTCCTGAGCTGAGGGGCCCAGAGCTGAGCACAGCACTCAAGGTGTGTCCTCACCAGCGCCGAGTCCAGGGGCAGAATCACCTCCCTGGTCCTGCTGACCACGCTGCTCCTGCTCCAGCCCAGGATGCCATTGGCCTTCTTGGCCCCCTGAGCACACTGCTGGCTCCTGCTCAGCTCCTGTCTCTCCACACTCCCAGCTCCCTTTCTCCTGGTGCTCTCCAGCCACTCTGTCCCAGCCTGGAGCTCTGGGTGGGATTGTTATGACCAAAGTGCAGGAGCAGCACTTGGCCTTGTTCAACCTCATCCCATGTCACGACATCCTGAGTGTAGCAATTTGCGACACACTGTGAGCTGTTTTAGCCTGAAATGAGTGTTTTCTATCACACACAAGGAGCATCAGTTCCAGCAGTGCCTGTTACCACCTCCTGAGCAGCAGGAAGAAGAGTTTGGTTAGAACTGTCACCTCCATCTAGCTGGAGGTGATTTGAGGTTGGGTTGGGTTGGGTTTGAAGAAGGTTTGGGTGAGTAAGCAGGACAAGGTGATGTGCTCACAAGTCACGTAGCTCCTGCCTCCTCCTTCCATCCAGAGCTGCAGAACTCAGTGCTGGAACTCTCCCATTTGCTGCTAGGGGCAGAAATCCAAGGAAGGCAGTTGGAAAAGGAGAGGTGGAGCTGATGCAAACAAGTGTAGATCACTCCAAGTCATCCATTGTCTATTGGCAAAGAGATCACTGGAATTTTCCTTGTGGTGGATTGTTAAACTGACCCAGGGATAGAGGTGATAGGAAGATCCATAGAGCCCTGGAACAGCTCTGGATGTTGGACACAGAGCAGGGAATCCTGCACAGGTAAGTTTGTTTGGCTTGAAACCATCAGCTGGGGAAATGAAACAGCTGCAACTGAATTCACTGAATACAATTAATTCACTGAAATTAAACAGCTACAACCCAAAGTTGTTTCGGTCACTTCAGTACCCAATGTCAGTGTTGTCAAAACCAACATCATCTGATCTGTGTTTCTGTTGTTCCAATGGTTTGTGCAGCATCTGATAAATCCCTTTTCTAACAAAACCATTTCCTTTGCTGCTGGTTCACACTTGCTGACGCCCCAGGGGACACTGTTGCCTCTTTTTAGAAAGCTGAACAGGAGCCAGCAGAGTGCTCAGGCCAGTAACTCACAGGATGTCCAACGGGATGAGGTTGAACAAGGC